TTAGGTGCATACACACTTAAGATTGTTATGTCCTCTTGGTAAATTTATCCTTTTATTGTAATGTAATATCTGTTTTTCTCTCTGGTAATTTTCTTTACTCCAAAGTCTCCTTTAGCTGATGTATTATAGGCACTCCAGGGCCTGGCATGGTGGCTCACACCTATAATCCCAGCACTTTGGGAGGCCAAGACCAGCAAATCACTTGAGCTCAGGAGTTCAAGACCAGCCTAGACAACATGGTAAAACCCTGTCTTTACAAAAAAAAATAAAAATAAAAATAAAAAATTAGCCAGATGTGGCAGTGCACACCTGTGGTTCCAGCTACTTGGAGGGCTGAGGTGAAAAGATTGCTTGAGCCTGGGAGGTTGAGGTTGCAATGAGCCATGATCACACCACTATAGTCCAGCCTGGGTGACAGAGGGAGATCCTATCTCAAAAAAATGTGCATATATATATATATATTTATTTAGAAACAAATAATGTATATTAATATATTTTTATCATATACTATATAAAATAAATAATAAACGTTAACATATTTATCATATTAAATATATATTAACATTGTTTATTTCTAAATAATGTATAGATTAAATAATACATTTATATACAGGCACTCTAGCTTTCTTTTAATTAATGTTCATATAATTATATCTTATTAACCTACCTATACCATTGTATTCAAAGCATTTTTCTTTTTTTTGAGATGGAGTCTTGCTCTGTCACCCAAGCTGGAGTCCAGTGGTGTCATTTCAGCCCACTGCAACCTCCACCTCCCAGTTTTGTGATTCTCTTGCCTTAGCCTCATGAGTAGCTGGGACTACAGGCACGTCCCACCGGCACCCGCTAATTTTTTGTATTTTTAGTAGAGATGGGGTTTCAGCGGGTTAATCAGGATGGTCTTGATCTCCTGACCTCATGATCTGCCTGCCTGGGCCTCCCAAAGTGCTGGGATTACAGATGTGAGCCACTGCCCCCAGCCCAAAGCATTTTTATTGTAAGGGCATTAAATTTCTTGTTCAGATAAGCTTGCAAAAGACAATGTACTGAGAATGCAAGACATGATCAAGATTTCACTAATTTTGAAGGCAGTGAATTAGCTGAATTTGGTTCTGATCAAGTTAAATCCGATAAAGCCTTGCCGAAAATAATTTTAAATAAATTTGTAAAAGTTTATTCTAATAATCTCTGTCTTTTAATTATTTTGTTTAGACATTTTACACTTAATGCAATTATTATGTTTGGATTTATGTCTACCATTTTGTTATTTGATTTGTATCTATTTTTTTAGTTTTTTTCCTCTTGTTTTTCTCTTCCCTCGTTTTGGATTATTTAAACATTTTGATTATTCCATCAAAACATTTTTATTGTGGTAAGAACGCTCAACATGAGGTCTATCCTCTTAACCTATTTTAAGTGTGCAATACACTATTGTTGACTATAGGTATGATGTCGTGCAGCACACACCTAGTGCTTATTCATTTCCCGTAGCTGATATTTTATGCCTGTTTATTGACAACTTCCTATTTCCCCCAGTGACCATTTTAGTCATTCATTTTATGCAGTTGACTATTTTAGTTACCTCATATAAGTGAAATCATGCAGTATTTGTCTTTCTGTGCCTGGCTTATTTACATAGCATAATGCCCTCAAAGTCGGTCCATACTGTGACTTATTGTAGAAATTCCTTCTTTTTACAGGCTGAATAGTATTTCAATGTCCGTCATGTTTTAACAATATTTGATGTTTTGTTTATTTGTGTTAATGGCTACCCAATGGAATAAAATGTTACGATTTTCACATTCTACTCAGAATCAACAGTGTGCCACTTCAAGTGGTAAAGAGACACCTTACCATCATCTAGACCCCTTATCTGACTCCTTTATGTTGCATTACATCTACCTATATTGAAAATCCTACCAGAAAATGTCATCATGTTTGCTTTTAATAAATCGCATCCTGGGTTTTTTAAATATTATGCTATACAATTCTAGATCTTGTTGAACTCTTATGTAGAATGTTATTTTTGCTTCAACAGGAAATAAACCCAGTGGGATTAAGGCTCCAAATTAAGCCTGTGGCTTTAATTTCAGTTTTGTTTCGCTTTCAGTTCTATTTAGACCTACTTCATATTTATACCTTTCAGCGGCCCGTATGGAACTCAGAAAGTGATCTCTCCTATAGCTCAATTCTCAAGGTTTATGGTATTCCCTTTAGGATCAGATTCATACATGCATAGATTGGGAATGAGCCCAAAGGTGTATAAACAATTGTATGTGTTCAGTTTCCTGAGCTCCTCTTGGCCTGTACCCTCCTCCTCTGTGCAGTTCTCTGGCCAAAGCATTGAGGCTTTATTTATCTCACTCTGCAGTGCACTTCCCACAACTGCTTACATCCACGTAACGAAAGGGTAAGAGGAAAAAGAACAAATAAAACACAATAGAGGTTTGCCACACCCTCTTGGGACTACAGGTCCTCATATCAAGGTAGACAATTCCCGTCCTCAGAGATGTAGGCTCTCGAGGGCCACTAATGCCACTGTGTTTGTTGGTGTCACTGCTGCTACCACAGTATTGCTTAGAGACCGGGCAGTGAAAGACGTGAAATGGAAAATATGGGAGGGCTAGAAAACTCCTTCTCAGTCTTCAAGCCAGAACTAGAGTCCTTCTCAAGCTCTTTCTGTTATTGCTGATGTCTACTTCTGAGTTTCAGACTGTACTGAGTCTAAGTCAGAAGAGACTGGGGACAAATTATGAGACTTTGAATTATTGTTTTCTCCAATCTGTCTGCTTCTGTTTCCTTTCAGAATACTCAGATTGACTTTGATGCATTTTTATCCATACTTTATAGCTGTACTAGGAGGAAAAGACAGGATAGTGTTGTTTACTCCATCTTACCTAGAATTTCAACTTAGAAATAATATAGATGTTAAATGTAGGTATTAAAACCTACAAGGGACCAGGAAAGCCATGAGAATTGCTTGAGCGATCATAGAAGGGTCAGTAAGGAGTACTCTATGACGTATGTCAGAGATAGGGTGACCATCATCCAAGGTAGAATACTTTTTCAGAGTAAAAGAGAGTACTATAATAATTATACTTGGACAATAAGTGCAACCAGGAACTAGAATATATAGACACCTTCCTTAGAAGATGTGATAAAAAAGTAATACTCTTTTCTAATTATATTCCACTAAGTCCAATTGTTCTATTGCAATCAGTATCCTATACATAGAAATTTTGTTTTGGTTGTCTGCTTTCTTGTGGTTAATTGACATGTAAGAAATATAAATAGCCCCCTGTCCCGAATGCTGCTTTGTTACCTTCGCTGTACCTACCAGCCTGGAAAGAGTGTATTCTGTAAATATTAGGAGTAGCTCTTTCTTTTTCTGTGTACCTGCTAACCTGAAGCTCGATTTGATGTTCTTTGAGGCTAAGGACAAAACGCTGGACCTCTGGATAGCTTGGTTCTAGCATTATCTATCTTAGGACAAACTGAATAAGCCGGCCAAAAGAAGTCTGAGTCTTAAATCTCAGCGAGTGGCTGGAAGGAAGGCCAGTGATCCTGGCCATCACCAAAGCACAATGGCACCGTGACAGTATGGGTTCCTCTTCACTGAGACCCTGCAATGATCCTTCCCACAAGAAACTTCCTCCAAGAATAATTTATACCCTTTAACTCATCTTTAACTTTATCACTGAAATTTCCAACAAGGATGTTGCTTGGTGCCAAAGCCACAGTGGTTTTTATGATGTGGGTGCCTCTGTGAATAAAGAGTCAAAGTGTTTCACACAGGCCCCAAGACGATCATGACTTTTAGCTACTCTGAACTTGGATCACATCCAGACCGGTGGATGTGACACATTGCATGTGAATGAGCCCAGACGTTGCTTTTATTTATTGCTCAGATGATAAATCATTTTATTCCACTAGAGAAGACAAAGTATAAGAGTTTGATATCCATATGCAAGTGGAATACTATTTTAACTGCAGGATAAACTGTTGTAAAGGAAACACACTTATGAGGGGGAAACTGGCTTCCTCTATCACAAACAATTTCATGGCCCTGCAGCCCATTACCCCATTACTTTGGAGGATTTAAAGGGAGACCCCCCAGATCGGAAGCATACAGGATTGCCAGACTCAGCAGATGGTTCAGGCTACAGTTCTGTTCACATTCCATTCTTGCTGCCTTTTAACCAGTGTATATCCTTATTTCCCAGACTCTTAGCTGCACTGCTGACTCTTGCCAGTGACTCTCTGCTTTGTATGTCACTGCAAGTCCATTCCTTGTCTCTTCATTGGCCTGATCATTTTGGCCCAGTTGGTCTATACTTCCAGGGGCCTAGGGTAAGGATTTACACTTTATACCTAACACGAAGATTTCTGGCCGACATCACAAGGAGGAACTGAAATTACCTCTACTCTTCTTTCCAAGCCTATATCCTGGCACAGACTACGTTTGGCAAAAAGGAAAGGGATTCTTCCTTTAGTTCCTCCACCCAGAGTGGGCACTTCGCATAAGCACACAGTAGAAACCAACCCTAGCCTTGTCTATTGTGGGTGCTGTTGGTCTCTACCCTTTATGCTCACTTTCTGTGCTTCAGAGTTGTTGGCTGACCATGGAGTAGAAATTGTCTTCTTTACAGAAATGCTTTAGGCAGAGTTTAAATCACTTTTTTCTAAGGCGGGGGGTGGTGGCTCACACCTGTAATTCCAGCACTTCGGGAGGCTGAGGCAAGCGGATCCCCTGAGGTCAGGAGTTTGAGATCAGCCTGGTCAACATGGCGAAACCCCATCTCTACTAAACATACAAAAATTAGCCGGGCATGGTAGTGCACGCATGTAATCCCAGCTACAAGGGGAGCTGAGGCAGGAGAATTGCTTGAACCCAGGGGTCAGAGGTTGCAGTGAGCCGAGATTGCGCAACTGTACTCCAGCCTGGGCAACAAGAGTGAGGCTCTGTTTAAAAAAAAAAAAAAAGAAAAATCACTTGTTTCTAATAAAATAATATTTGTTTGATTGCAAGTATATATAAAGTCATATGCACAATACATGGTAGACATGACAGTCCCTAGCCACAAGGCAGAAGTAGCTGTATTTTCTGATTCTGCTTGGACCACTGGGAAATCTTAGGGGTGTTGTGTACTGAAAGTACCCAAAGTCTAGAGAATTCACTCCCTCTCTGTCCAGTCCAGGAAATCAAAGGCTCTAAACCACAGTTTCAATCCCATTCCACTGTCCATCAAGCTTGCTGGTGCTGGCAGGAGACTCTTTCAAGCCTGAACACACATACACAGAGCTGTGAGTTTTGTCCAGCAACATCTTTATCCGAGGGATTGGATTGGGAGGGGGCTCCCGGGCTCATTTCACTATTTCTTAGGCTGGGAGCTCCTCCCAGTGGTTTCTGTTTTACTGAGTCCTTTCCACTGAAAAATCCTAGAGGTAATTCTAAGCTGGTTCCACGTGAATCCTTGAGAGTTTTTTCACAGGCATGTGGTAGCGCATTTGGGTCCAGAACCTAGAATTGGGAGGAACTGATCTTAAGCCTCTCCATGCAACTGTGGGCAAAACCCTGAGAGCTTTTTTCACAAGATGAGGTAGAGATTCTGGCTCTTGGAAGTAACAGAACTTAATTAAAATGAGCTTCAGTGTTTGATCATTCAAGGCAAGATTCACTGCTGCTTGTAGTTCAAAGACACTGGGTCCGTTGACATAGTTGGGGCTCAAGATAAATATTCCTCTTCTGCTTCTCTTAATAATGCTCACAATGTCTTCTGCATACACTGGAAATAAAACATTTGATTATTTGCAGTTGATATTGTTAAACCTTGAGTCAGAAAGCTCTTTGCAATGGATTCTCTTACATAGAAGGAAAGGAGACATGTTCATTCTACCACTTACGCTTTATCAACTCTATTGCCAGTGGAATATATGTTCCAGTGTCTAGTGACTCTCAACTTTACATTCCCCGCTTTGTGTTTGGTCTCCCCAAATTGGCAATTCCTCTAGGAACAAAGCTGACTGGAACTAGGTAAGCTGGGATAACGGGAGCCATGGAACGTCCCAGCCTCCTTGGTGGAGGTATCTGGGGAGGAGGAGACCAGCAGAACAGGCTGAGATCTGGACCTCTCAGGGTGCCCAGGGCTTGGCCCAGGCCTGAAAAGCCTGCTTGACCCAGTGCTGAGTGAGCTTTGTGAAATGCAGAGTCTCAGAAATCAGAGGGGCCACTAAATTGGGGTGACAGAGAAAATCTTCATCTGTGAAGCCAGGAGAGGTATCTTTGTCTTAGAAGGCCTGCCTAGGACCCCATATCATTTTTTCTTCTGCAAATGGATCTGTTTGATAATGGAGCACATCTCTGGAACACCTAGTTTCTGTGTTGTTGCCCAAGACGTTCTAACCTCATGAAATCTCCCAGATCTATATTCCAAAAGAAAGAATGACAAAAGGAATTTGGAGATTGCATTGAACTGCACTTTTTGCGCTGTAGGTTTTCTTGACATGTGGACTTACCTCCTCCTGGAGCCACATCTCTTTCAAGCAAACACAAGGTATATCCATATTTGTTTTCTAAAACATCAGGAAATAGGCTCAGGGCCAAGTGTTCTTCACTCAGAGATGAAGTGGCCTCACTTTGAAAAGAGCTAGATTTTGCATAGGATACGAAAGCATCAAAATCCTTTTTATCTGAAGAATAGGAAAAAGTATAAAACATAAGTTATTTACTTTTTTAAAAACTATCATGGTACACATAAATGTGCTTGAAACCTATGGTAAATGAATAAGAAATAAGATTTGGGAATCCTTATTAAATTGCTTTTAAAAATTCATTTCAAAACCATACCACTAAGCAGTATTGCTTGTCCACCCAAAATCTAAGTCTAATTTATGAAGCACTTTTGCATTTTCGCTGAGGTTAGATCAAACAGCTGAGGCATTCTGTGACTGAATCACATGAACTCAGGAGTTTCTCTGAGCCTTCTTTGTACCTGCAGTGTTTCTGTGTCATTAGTCACATATCAAACAGGAGTCTGCCTCATCCCACATGATGGTATCCAGTAAGCAAAGTACTACTGACACCCAGCACATTGTATACAGGGATAAATAGTGCTTCCTTGGAGAGTTGATGGCACATATGCTGAAATGTGAATCCCTATATCTAAAATAAAGATAATCATAACTCCTTGGCAGGCTGTTTTAAGAGTTTCATGAGATAATGTATATTAATTTCTTGGTGCCTGGCTCATAGGAGGCATAAGATAAATGCCCACTACCCTTTATTTGAGATGGAAAACTTTATGTATAGAACTTGCTACAGGATATTTTCAAGGTCGTATATGCCTTTGTTGGCTATATTATAAAATAATAATTTATATAATATGTAAAATAAATAGTCAACAGAGGCATATGAGACCTTGAAAATATCCTGTATTTTCATATGCATACTTCATAAATGCATGTGATTACTGGGACTAAGGAACTAACTGGAAGAAGTAGAAAATCCCAACACAGCCCACAGGCTTTGGAATGGGATACACCAGATTCGTATTCCAGCAATCCCACAGTTGTTACAAAATGGTAAACAATAGCACTGATTGCTGTTGCTACTTAGTAGTACACCATGTTCAAGGTGAACATAAAAAGATTCCATGGTGGATGGAAGTACCAGGTACCAAAAAGGAAGGTCCCAGAGTCAATAGAGGAGGATGTCAAAGAGCTGAGGTTGGGAAACTAACCTATGAAGAATCTCATTGCTCATGTAGGAAGGCTGAGACTTGTGAGGCATGGCTGACAGGTAGGTGTCGTGCTGTTTAAATGTGTAACACACCATAGTTGCCTCTATGTCTTCCATATCATGTGAAATCCCGGCAAACTAAAATTTTTCTATAACCTGGAAACTACATTTATTCAGTCATAAAATTAGACAACAGAGTATTAGATGATCTCTGAGGTCCTCTAGAATTCTAACAGTCTACATCTCCAAAATTTTGGTTACTCAGCACTAACTTCCAAACAGTCATATTGCTAAAGAATGTTACGGTGGCCAACAGAGGGCACTGCATCCCTGTGTTTGAAAGCCAAATTCTCCCTCCAGATCCGGTCACTGAAACATTATCTTTGCAAAGTAGAAAGAGAAAGGACACAAATCTTTCACCATTGACTGACTCTCTTACACAACCTCCAGAATCTTAAGGTAAATAGCAATTTAAGACATTTATTACATAATTTGATTCACTCAAAAAAGCTATTAAAAATAAATCTTAAAAACATTTAGCTTAAGGATTTCTAGTACATATTCTCAATAGTTAGTCTAAAGAAAGACATGAATGATGCATTTCTTCTTTTTTTTTCTTTTGAGATGGAATCTTGCTCTGTCACCAGGCTGGAGTACAGTGGCATGATCTAGGCTCACTGCAACCTCCACCTCCCAGGTTCAAGTGATTCTCCTGCCTCAGCCTTCCGAGTAGCTGTGATTACAGGTGCCTGCCACCATGCCTGGCTACATTTTATATTTTTAGTAAGGATGGGCGGTTCATCGTGTTGGCCAGGCCAGTCTCAAACTCCTGACTTCAAGTGATCTGCCTGCCTGGGTCTCCCAAAGCGCTGGGATTATAGATGTGAGCCAACATGCCCAGCCACTTTTTTTTTTTTTTTTAGATTGGGTCTCACTCTGTCATCCAGGTTGGAGTGCAGTGATGTAATCACGGCTCACTGCAGTCTTAACCTCCTGGGCTCAGGTGATTCTCCCATCTCAGCCTCCTAAGTAGCTGGAACTACAACGGGGCACCACCACACCCAGCTAATTTTAAAAAATTTATTGTAGAGATGGAGTTTCACCATGTTGCCCAGGCTGGTCTTGAACTCCTGAGCTCCTGCAGTTCCCCCCAACTCTGGCCTTCCAAAGTGCTAGAATTACAGGTGTGAGCCACCATACCCAGCCTCCCATGCAAGTCTTTATTCAACCTTTCTTCCCCAAGGGATCTGACACCTCCTCACTGAAGTCCTAGTTTGGGAAAGCACTGGAGTTTGAAGGGGCCTCTCGATAAGGTGAATGATTATCCCTGAAATCCAGCAAAAAGGGATTCTACCCTTTTCAAGCAACAGAGTCATTTACTAAAACTGCAAACTTCTCATCTTAGAGATTTCCTGGACTAGAAAAAAAACAGAAGCAGCTCTTCTATTCCAAAGAAGCAAACATCAATGAACATGATTATCCTACCCCAAATATTGACAGGCACTTCATTAATAATAATAGTACTTGCATTTTACAGGACTTCTCACTTTTAGGGGCATTCCCACCATCTAAAAAGCCCTCATTTTACAGATGAGGTTAACTAAGGTAACAGCTAATGAGATCTCTTAAGCCAGGCAATCTGTGCCCAAATCTCAAGTTCTAACGCCTTCCAGTGGTTCAATTTTAGGCACATGACTTCCTCTCTCTCTGCCTGGCTGGTAGGATTGCTGTGACCATTAAAGTAGCTAACACACGTGACAGGAATACACTCCAGTCCTCAAGAAACAGCCATAGCTGACCATTTACCGTGTGCTGGGCGCCATTCTAAATACTTAATGTGACCGGGGATGTTAGCTCATGCCTGTAATCCCAGCACTTTGGGATGCCGAGGCAGGTGGATCACCTGAGGTCAGGAGGTGGAGACCAGCCTGGCCAACATGGCGAAACCCTGTCTCTGGTAAAAACACAAACAATAGCTGGGTGTGGTGATGCACGTCTGTAATGCTGACTACTCAAGAGGCTGATGTAGGAGAATTGCTTGAACCCGGGGGGTGGAGATTGCAGTGAGCTGAGATAGTGCCACTGCACTCCAACCTGGGAGACAAAGCAAGACTCCGTCTCAAAATAAATAAGTAAATAAATACTTAATGTGTCTTAAGAATGCATCAAAGAGCCCTCATAGCATCCTTTGCAATTGGTGCTATGACAATCCTGTTTTATAGATGAGGAAACAAATGCACAGAGATAATCAGTCATTTTCCCTTTTGCTTTAGGTTGGTTAGAGAGGCATGATATTTAAGTCCAACATGTTTCACAATAGCATTGTCTACAAGATTGCTGGTAACTAGAATGAAACAAAAAATAAATGTTTCTCCAGCCTTCCTTAGTGTGAGGTCACCAGCCCTGGAGGAAGGCATCAAAACCTTAGGGGCATTACTTTATCCGGGGGGGGGGGTATTTCTTTCTTCAGCTCCTCCCTCATGCTCTGCCCTGGCTGGCAGATGACATCTGAAATTATTTTCTAAAATAACTCTGAAGAAACAAAGCCAAAGAGTAGTGATGGTATTTTCTGTCATCCTGCTCCAAGTCAATTCCGAGAGGAAAAGTCAGAGGGCTGCATGTGGGGGTGACCTTACCCCCAAGCGTCTCGTCCTTGCTCTGGTAGGTCCGGTACAACAGAACTATTTCAATCCAGTGCCTATAGAGGAGGGCACTCACCGCCAGCAAGGCCACCAGGGTCCCGACAGTGCCGAGCAGGATGTACAGGAGCACCACTGCGGAGACAGGGCCTTTGTGAAGAGACACCGAGGCAGCGGGCTTGGGCCCAGACCATGTTCAGGCCAGCACTGTGGCCCACCCGGCACCTTTTCCACCTCTATCATTTTATCAAAATCATTGCCACTAGCAGCAGTTTTTGTGAATCTGGAAATCTCTTAAATCACATAATGGAAAACTACTCGGCCATAAAAAGGAACAAAATAATGGCATCTGTAGCAGCCTGGTTGGAAGAGGAGGCCATTATTTTAAGTGAAGTAACCCAGGAATGAAACACCAAACATTGTATCTTTACACACGTAAGTGGGAGCTAAGCTATGAGGATGCAAAGGCTTAAGAATAATACCATGGCCTTCAGGGACTGAAGAAGAAGGGCAGGAGGAGGGGAATGAGGGATAAAAGACTACACATTGGGTACAGGGCACACTGCCTGGGTGATGGGCATGCTGAAATCTCAAAATCACCACTAAAGAACTTATCCTTGTAACCAAAACCACCTGTACCCCCAAACCCTACTGAAATAAATTTTTAAAAACATCATATTTTGAGAACTGTCTTACAATAAACACTAGAGACCCCAGGGGAATGGGTAATTCCTGATCAGGGTGGCCGCAAAAACTTATCACATTCATTTTATTTTTTTCCCTCATAAACGGCCACATGATCCATTTGCATCTTTCTCATTGCATATTGTAAATTATTTCCCTGTATTATTATTCCTACTGAAGCCTAAATTTCCAGAGACCAGGAGTCCCATCTGGCTAACCTGACGCAAGGGGTCTCCTACACACTCCCATGGGGAAAATCCCCCTTCACAGAGTGTCTACTATAGGCCAGAACACACTTTGTCTTATTTAAGCCTCACAAACATTCAAATATGCTTATAACTATAATTATCTATTAATTAAAGAAATGAATGATATAAACTTCATCTCTAAACATCATCTTAAAGTAATTTACCTGCTGTTCTTCACCTAGAATTTTTATGCCAGCTTTTTTTTTCATATATCAGTGGTATACCATTTTGAACAATGAAGAAGATTACTCCTTCTCTCTTCCTTTCTCCGCTCATCAGAACATGAATCCATCATGTCCTCTGGATTTGGAAGCCAGGAAAGAAAAACTGGAAAGGGGGCTAGGTCTTAGCACAATGCCTGCCACTCAGGGCACGTAAGCCCTCTAGCAATTGTAGAATGAATGCAAGAATGAATGAGTGAATGAATGAGTTGCTTTTCCAACACAGCCTCCCAAGTACAGAGTATTACTTAAGAGGACTAACTCCAAACCAATAATATGCAGTTACCAGTTGTGTGGCTTTGGTCAAGGTATAAATGGGTTGACACAGGAAAGTGCTTAGAACAATGTCTGTCATCTAGAAATGTAATCACTATCATCATTATTACTATTCTTTAGGAAAACTCCTCCCCTCTCAAGGGAAAGCAGTTTCATGCCTCCTGGGCAACCTTCTGGGCTTACCTCCTCTCTTTTCCTTCAGTTGGATGAACTGGGTTGTGTTTCCAATGGAGTTTTGGACAAAGCAAACAAACTTCCTGCGAAGATCACGCTTAGTCACTTTTTCCAAGATGATATCACGCTCAATGATTTCACCCTTTACAGTGGATTCAATGCTAAGAAAGGAGAAAAAAACCACATGCATTCAGTAACATACATTAACACCCATTTGCAGCATTTGGAACTCTCGTACAAGCATTTGAAACAGTCTGGCTTTTAGAGAACTGTGAAATCAATAGTATAAGAAGATACCAGGAAAATGTAAGATGGTCTGATAAGAGGGCTCTTTCTTGACTCAATTATTGACTCTTCTAAGCATTCATGCTAAGACATTATTTACTTGTGGGACTCATCTGACCTTCCTTACTTGAGAATAGATAGTAACAATACATTAATAAAAATATTTAAAATAACCAACTCCTACTGAAGGTTTACTATGTATCAGTTCCTCTTCTGTGCACCAAATATGGACTCTAGTGTCCTCCATTCCTCACCTCCCAGAAACCACAGAGTTTAATGGAATCATACCAGCTTTGGCCAGTGACAAGGACGAGGCAAAGAAGATGGGCGAGCAGGCCCAGGCCACATCAGGGTAATTGGGCAACCTGATTCCTGGGCCTGTGACACACACCTCCACTTAGGAAGTTGAGACTCTTGGCATTTATTCACAATTTGAGTTCTCTGAAGTTGCCGATTTACAATCCATCTTTTTTTTGTTTTTTTTTTGAGACAGAGTCCCACACTGTCACCCAGGCTGTAGTGCAGTGGCACGATCCCAGCTCACTGCAATCTCCATGTCCTGGGTTCAAGCAATTCTCCTGCCTCAGCATCCCGAGTAGCTGGAACTACAGGCATGCACCACCATGCCCAGCTAATTTTTTTTGTAATTTTAGTAGAGATGGGGTTTCACCATGTTGGCCAGGATGGTCTCGATCTCCTGACCTCATGATCCGCTCACCTCAGCCTCCCAAAGTGCTAGGATTGCAGGCGTGAGCCACCACTCCCAGACTATAATCCATCTTTGTGTTAAGAAATCTTGTATATGTGAATGATGTTTTAGGCTGTGTTGCTCTGAGCCCCTGACGCCAGGTCCTATTTACTAAGTGCTTTCTACCTGTCAGATTGTGATAAGCATAATACCTCCACTGCAGCCACCCCTCCCAGTGAGCTTGCAAAGTGAAGGTTATTATCCATAGATTATCAATGGGGTGATGGAGGCTCATAGGAGTTAAGGGTCATGTTGCCACTAGATAGAAAATGGGTTTAAACCCAAGGGTGCGTAATGTCAAACTATACCTTCTTGACTACACTCTCCTACTATGAACGCTAATGCAGTAACAGCTTAAGATAGGCCTCAATGACCTTTTTGATCTTAGAAATTCTTGCTAAATTTTATTGTTGTGACCAAAATCTGTTTTTCTTTTTTGTAATGATGTATACTTTTCAAAATGATACTGCATTCGCTCATTGATATCTGTTAAATATCAGAAGAAGGCACTTAATCTATAAACTCTTACTCTTACTCTGGGTCAGATCTTTGAAAAATCAGGGAATGTGTCCTTTAGAGACATGTCTGATTGGCCATCATTGGATCCAGGCCCGACTGGAGATCTTTTCTTGTGATTGGATAGCTCCAAATATCTAGGCTTTTCTACTGGCCAAAATCTCTCACTAATAAATTCTTACCACTGATCTGGGTTCTGTGCTCCAGAGAGCGACAAACCAAGTCTAATTTCTGAAACAACGTACTAGCTCCCAAGGATTTCAAGACAGAGAGCTCTCATCTGAGCCTCTTTTTCTGAGCTAAGTTGCTTCAGCTGTTCCTCACTTCACATATTTTTTTGTCAGACTTCTTATTATGATGCCGTTTCCCCTGGATGTTTCCCAGAGTGTTCATTACCCTACACATCTGGATCCCCGGACCCGCCACGCTCTGAATGGTGACATGGATGAAACGCAGAATGAGGGTAGGCAGCATTTCCTCCCGTTTTTTGGACGTGTTACTTATCTCCAAGCAGTTGGATCAGTACGTCTGTCTGCTCAATAGCCTGACTTTGAGGGCAGCCACGTCAAACTGTTTCTACAAATTGAGGTTTAAAACAACTTACATATTTCATTCAATGGCCCTTTGCACTTTGCATTTCTGTACTTTTATTTTCACCATGAATCTGTGCTCGTGGCTATACCATCAACTGCATATTTCAGAAGTTTCTAAAGGTAAAAGCATCTCTTCTGAATCATAGAGAACAGAAACCGTGAGTTTTTTCCTTACCTTTTCGCTTCAGGTACTGAGACTTCCCACTCTAGGTCAGAATCTTTGATGTACCATTTTATGACAGGTTTAAAGACCCTTTCAAAGCCAAATAGTGCTTTGCAGCTAATATTTAAAGGCTTTCCTGAAAATGAAGAGGCCAGAGAAAACAGGAAGGAAGCTCATGAGAACACTTTGTCTTATGACTGGAAGGAAGATGTGGCCAGAAGCTGTTTTCTGATGCAGTCAGGTCTGAAGGTAGAATATGTGTGCCAGAAATAATGAAATGTCTACACATCTTTCATTTAGAAACACATGAAACCAATTACGTTTGTTCTAATGGACAATCCTTCATCTCAACCATATAACCATATGTTCTTAAAATGAAGATGAGCGTGATTATACCCCTAAGGGTCCTTACGTGGACTGAGAGAGACACTAAGAAAATGAGGAGTTTCTGAGATCAGCCCAGTCTCCTACACCTGTTGAAGAAAAGAAAATTTTACTATCCAATATGTTTATTGAGTAAAAATAAGGTTATTGTAACATGTGGTTTAAATAAAAACTTATTTTTATATTAAGCTACTTTTCTGAACAATTCAGTATGGATGGGCATGTATATTATGAGGCTAACTTCTTTCTATCCATTTTTTTTCCCACGAGGAATATCCAGATATGCTCTACCTCAAACTTAATATTTAATTATGAAATGTTTAGGAGCTCTGTTTGAAAACTCATATTTGCACCTTAATGTTTTTCCACCAGTAATACCTTATAATTCACTAATATATATGTGACTTAACTGTTTGAATTAATTTAATCCCCCCCGCCGCTTTCCTCCTTCCTTCCGTTTTCCTGATGTTGACCGTATAGGTACGGCTATCTCTAGAGTGAGGACACACCACTACTGCCACCTAGTGATCTTGTAACATGTAAGTTTACATTTCTTTCTAAAATACTCTTTTAGTAGCATTTTAGAAAATATTATTAAAAGAAAAGCAGCATTTTATTTTACAAACAGCAATTCTTATTTTTCTGCGTAGAAAGACGCAGATGTTATCGAAGTTGAAAAAATAAAAGGAGACCACAGGGAAGTGAATCTCTCCTCAACCCCCGAGAAGACACTACTTTGGAATACAAATTGTTTGGGCAAGGGTTGTAGAATTCCACTACAATTCTCTTAAATGTCACACTAAATGTCATATTCATAAGAGTTAATGTTACTCAAGTTGGTGCATTTATAGTCATAACTGATAGACCTGACCAACATACACAAAACCACCTGTTCCTCGGGTAAGTAAGGAAGAATAAAATCTATTGATCATATTTTACAATCCAGCCACTTAACATACATTGTCTCGTTATTTCTCAATATAATGTTTTTATTTTTTTCTTTGAGATGGAGTCTCGTTCTGTCACCCAGGATGGATTGCAATGGCACGATCTTGGCTCACTGTAACCTCTGTCTTCCAGGTTCACATGATTCTCCTGCCTCATCCTCCCGAGTAGCTGGGATTACAGGCACCCACCACCACACCTGGCTGCCACTGTGCCAGGCCTGCAATATAATCTTTTAGGGTCATTTTTATGGTACCTGTTTGTAGATTTAAATACTGAGGCTTAAAGGGGGAAGTAACTGTCCATGGTTACAAAACTAGTCAATGGCTGAGTTGATTCAAACCCAATTCTGTTTGACTGGAAATCCCAATGTTCTTTTCCTTCTGTCCCACTTAGACCTGCTCCCAGCAGCACAATGTCATTCAAAGGTGATGTAATGAGACCCAGCTTACCAAGTTCTACCTCCAGTGTGCTCTCAATGGGGTCCAGAATATCTGGTTTGAGTTTAGTGTCTGCGACTGAAAGATGAAAACAAAGATTACTATTTGCATGGAGAAGTCTCAGGGCCTGCTTGATGAAGATTTGCACGCACAGCCACACTTTGATCTAAATGTCTTGGAGCTCTGTCTTCAAGCTCGTTTACTCATGATCTGTAAATTTAGGAATTCTGGTTTCCATGTAAAAATCTTGCCCCCTAAAATGACCGTCACATCAGGTTGTGGGTGCCGGTAGAACATTAGCAGTTAATTGATCCGTATATGCCTGTGTGCATTTTCTTTCACACTGATCCTGCCCCTTGGAGACTTAGCCCTTATCCCTGTCTTTTCCTACAAGATTTATTTGTGGTACCATCTGGCTGAGTAATCCAACTGAAACGAGAATCCACCCGAGAAATTGTGAAAGTCAAGCCTATCTGAATCCACCCCTCCATCCTTAAGCTCACAGTTTATTTCAAAATAAAGAAGAGTTCAGTCCTTAATTAACAAGTTTATCCTTCAACTTCTTGCCACAAACTTTCAGATATGCCTCCACTGTCAAACTTCCTCGTGAAGGCGTCTTTTTCTGGATAAAGGAAAATTCAGGGTCTTTGTTGTTGGCATCATCCCCTCTTACTTCTCAAAGCCCTCCTTCTCTCCTTTGCACCATCTTGGTCCTGTATATTTAACCTCTCTCTCTCTCTCTGACTCTTTCTCTCTCTCTCTCTCTTTCTCTGGGCTTCTTCTCATTAGCATTTATTCATGCTCAGGCTCATCATCCTTAAAAAGAGAAAACGTTCCCTGCCTCACATCCCAGCCTCACTCATCCTCCTTCCTTCCCAGCCAAATTCTTGAAAGGTAGTTCTATGTACCCATTCCCTCCATCCCCTCACCTCGCATGGAACCTGATTTCTGCCACCATTATTACTCCACTGAAATTGCTTTAGCCAAATTCACTGGTGACACCCATGCACCTAAATCCACTGGACATAATCAAGTTTTTAATTTACTTTCCCTCTTATCAGCATCGGACACTGTTGGCTGTGCTCTCTTTGAAATCCTCTCTTCTTTTGGTTTCATATTCTCGTACTCTGCTGCTTACCTTCAACCTCCATATTCACTTCTCTGTGTCTGTCCCTTCCTCTACATCTCTTTTGACTATTAGCTCTCTCTTAGTATTCTTTCACTCCTCTTGATTCTTCTGGGTAGTAAGTTTATTCTCTACTCCTCTTCCTTGTGAAAGGTCTTGATGCTTGAGATGTCTCTCCTGCATCATCAATTTCACTTCCTCTGTTGCTCTTCTCTCCATCCTTCCACTGATACTCACTTGCTGATGTATGTTTCCATCCCCTTTAAGGATCTTCCTCTTTTCCACCTCCTCAAGCATTGAAATATTCCTGAGTTCAGCTCTAGGACCTTCTGTCTCTATGCCCACTTCCTAGGAGATCTCATTCAGCTCTTTGGCTTCAGATATCATATAAAAATTGACTGTCTTCACATTCACATCTCCAGCCCTAACTTCTCCAGACTGGATTATCCAAATGCCTATTTGTTATCATGACTTAGATGACTAAAAGTCCTTTTAAGCCTAATACTTAATTTCCTCTTCAAATGTTCTTTTCCTTCAGCCTTTTCAGTCTCATTAAATGATGTCACGATTCGCTAACTTATCCAGGGCAGAAAACAAAAACGTGCTCGATTGTTCTCTTTCTCCTACCTTCTAAATAAAATCCAGCATCATGCTCTGTTGAATTACAAAAGCCCAGCCACTTCTCATCACGTCTTCTAGGTCTATTCACAGCACAAGCAGTTGAACCATGAGTCAAGCCTGCTGCTCCAAGACTGTGCCTGCTCTCATCCTTCGTATTGATGTGCTCTTGTCAGCACATTGCCTCCTTGACCAGCTCAAAGACTGGCTTGCATCCATAGCTCCTGCTTTCCCTCATCCTTGCTCCCAAACACCAAATTCTTTGCATGTACCTCCTAAATATTTCCAAAGTCATCCACTTATCTCCATTCCCTTTACCACTCTCTCATTCAGATCCCCGTCAACAACTGCCTGCTTGACCACAGAGCTTCCTCACTCTTCTCCCTGCCTCCATTCTTCCCAATTCCAACCCAGCAAACAAAGCGATCTATCTTGAATACGAATTTATTCATGACATTCTCCCACTTAAAACCCTCAATACCTCCCCCTTGTTCCTTCATTAAACCTCACACATATTAGAAGAGTGTGATGTCAGTCCTGCTCCCAGATGCTCTCCTTCATCTCCTGGACATCAGCTCTACTGCTGCCTTGGTCTAGAATGGAAACTCCCCTACCCTTACTGAGCTGGTGTGTCCTCATTTCTCTGTTCTCACTTGGACTGGGCTTCCCCAGGTTGGGTCTGGTGGGCCTCCCATGTGCCCATAGTGTTCCTTTCTCTCGCTACACTGTATTATGATAACCTGCTTCACCTTTGTCTTCTTACCAAAACAGAAAGTTCCTGGAGGTCAGATAAAGCATCTGGGCACTCATCCTTGCAGCCTTAGCTCCAAGCCTGACACATATTAGGTGTTCAGTACATATTTGTGTGAAAATGAATAAATGCGAGAATGAATGGCTAAGTGAGGAAGACAGGAATGATGGCAGAGAGGGCTTGACTGAAATAGAGGCAACAGATGTTGCAAGGTGTCTGTTGGGTGAGAGAAAAGCAGATTATGCCATTGAGAATTTGAGGGGCTGAGTTATGGCTGAGTAAATGAACAATTACACATCACTTGCAGGGGAAAAGTGGTGTAAGTGGGTTTTTCACATTCTAACATCTTTCAAGGAGCAATGTAATAATAGAAAATGACATCTAACCTATGTAAGATCTAATCTAAAGTAATATAAAATTATTCTGAAGTGGCAGAGGGTGCAAGGGCCAGGAAGTAGGCAGGAGAATTTCACTTGATCATGGGGTGCTCCATGTGGTTTGTATCTTGTAACAAAAGAAGAAGATTAATAACTAAGAACAACATCAACCACTCTGTAGCTCTTTGATACAAAGCATGAGTGACTGGCTCTCATATGTTTTGACTCCTTAGACCACATTTCAATTAATGCTATCACATAGTTGATTCAAGCTGATACTTGCAAGTCTAGCAAGAATGACCCTAAGGTAAAAATAGACAAGTCATGGAAGAAAGCCAATGAACCAAAAAACGTATAGCAAGATGTTCAACCTCATTATTAGTCAGGGAAGTATACTATGGAGTAGAAAGCAAACAAACAAAAACAAAACTCCACTTAACATCAGTCATAAAGTCTGATAACAGCAAATATTACTTGGGAATAGAATGAATTTACTGCCAATGGGGGTGTAAATTGGCAAACCAATAATTTAGTATAATACCATGTGTTTATGACACAAAACACATTTCATAACTCAAAACAATATTCTATTTTGTCAATAGATGCATACATATGTAGAAAAAGCATAAAAACATAAATGGAAATGTGATTATACTGCAGAAGCAAAGGCTTGGAAGGGAATGGAGTCATAGACCTCAAGTTGTTCTTCCAATATTTTGTTTCTTTAAATAAAAAAAGTATGATTTTAAGCATGTGGGAAAATGGTAACACAGTTAAAACTGGTGATAGGTACATGGATGACAATATTTCTCTGTGTGAAATGTTTAATACATTTTTTAAATGTATTACAATAGCAATTCAGGGGCATACTCATGGACAACCCAACTTGTGAGAATTTGAATCTGTTTCAGAACTTAGCCTTCCTTGGGGGATGGCAACCTTGATGTTTGCCGATGTTGAAGATTTTACATGATTACAAGTATATGACTATTTTTTTCCCTAAGAGGAAAAAATTACTAAGCCAAAAGAAGATAATTTTAATTTGGTGCTCAGATCTCAGATCTTGAGACAAAAATCTCACTTACCAATGGTTCTCACTTGAATAACAGATCTGACTGTCCATGAACTTGCAGTATCCGACAGCGTGTAATCACATACATATCTGCCCTGGTGATAGTCATAAACTTCATCCACTGTGATTTGGTTGCTCCTTTCCTTAGGGAGGAGGGTTCCATTCTAATCCAAAAAAAAAATATTTTAACCAGATAATTTTTGCCGTAGAAAAACGTTATGAATTACATCCCTACGGAAAAATCTTACAAATTTGAACAGGGAGGAAGAAGGTCAATCCAAGATAAGGGTATCCCACAAGCTATGAAGACATTGTGTTGAAAAACTGTACTTATAAACTTGAAACAAGAGGCATTTTCTAATACAATTGCATTGTGTGTAGAGATGAGACAGTCAAACCTCCGAACCTGATCAGCCCCTGAAGAACTATTTAATATAGGACTCCCAGAGCATGCATGACTTGGAGCCCTGAGATTATTCTAGAAGACCTGTAGTGTTCTAAGGGCTGATACCAAAATGAATTTTTTTTAATGTGTGTGTGTGTACGTATATACAGGCATGTATATATGTATCTATAAAAACATATATTGTATATATTTACTTATATAAAAGATATATACTTATAAATAAATACTTTTATGTATTATATAAGCAGAGGTTCTGGAATGTGAGTGGCTTTTTTCTCTCTCTGACAAAGCTGGTATGTAAGAGCACTGAGAATCAACCTCATTTTTTCTGGTTGCGTTTCATATTGCAATTGAGGAATTTCCCTTCCACTTTGTCTGCTCATCTATTTTACACACACTCCTGGTCAAAGCTTTTAATCTTTCTTTTTATTACATGAAATATCACTAGCATCTGCCAACTTCTTTCTGTTTCTACTTCTTTCTGTCCTGTCCTGGATCAGGACTCACACTTGTCTACTGGTGGAAGCTGGGATTCCCCCATGCCACATCTCTGGTGTGTTTCTTGTGGGCCAAGAAGGAATTTACAGCAGGCTGGAAAGGAGACTAAGGGTGGGGGCAGACTGGCCAGAGAAGGGCATCTGTGGGCAGGAAGCAAAATGAGGCCATGAGGTGGTTACAGACAAGGCTAAATATGTACCAGGTGATCCAAAGAATCAAGAACTTTTCAAAAGGAAATTTGAAAACATAGAGGGAAATTCAAAGATAAAACTTCAGAGCACACGGTGAGAGCATACAAAGACCAGAATCTGGGGGAGAGGAGTGTCGTAAATCGCATGAGAACGTAACGGAGGGAGGACACAGAGCCGTCACTAAGACCTCACCTAAGCCACTGGGGAGGATGGGGAATAACGTATCTTTTTTATCCATAAAAAGGTAAGTGAGGCTTAATATGTATCGTTAAGACATTATGAAATGGAACATAGAGGAAGCATCAAAGAAAAGAAATTAGGGAGAAGCAATTTATGCCAAGGATGATGGGAAACCCATTCTAATAATACAATTACAGGTCATCCTCATAGGACAAAGAAAGGCTAATGCAGCTGCACAGGGAACTCTTTCTCATATGTGAAGCAGTCACGAACAGAATATGGAAACAGGAACATCCACCAGCGTGAATCTGGATGAATAGTGCCAGTAAGTCCTCAAAAGAATGGAGGCATGAAAAAAAATGTCACATTCACAGATCTGTGGAATGCCTAGTGTTTAGCATGCTTAGGGTTTCATTTTGTGAGGAGAGGCAGATGGCACTGGAAAGGTAGGCATGAAAAAAAAAAAAAAAAGAAAGAAAGAAAGACACTGCAAAGGACTTTTAAAGAAGCAGGGAGAAGAACACAGTTATTCTTACTCCTAGGGGCAGGTATTACAATATTATACCGCAGTATTATCAATTTATTATACTATCAGTAGGTACAGCTACTGAGCATCATGCACACTGTGTTATTCTGTGGGAATGGTGCTTCCTGGACTTGGCAACACAGTAGAGCTCCTAGCTGGACTTCCACTACCTAGTCCGGGAGGACTCCAAAGATCTGCATTTCTAGCCTCGTCCTCCCTGGCTTCCCTGGTTCATTTCAGGTTTTCATGTCCATTTTAGTGTTCCCTAACATAGACTCATTGTGTCCAGGTCTGTATTCATTGCTGCTTTCCTGCCCCTACTTGAATTTACTACTACTGTCTCTAACTTGGTAAATACTGTGAATATATGTTGAGCCAGAAAGACAGCAAATAGTCTGCTCATCTATTTTACACAAACTCCTGGTCAAAGCTTTTAATCTTTCTTTTTATTA